CTGAGGATCCCTTTTATAGGGATTGATCAGAAGAGTTTTTGATCAATCCCAACTCCTCTTTGGATCAGGATTCAATCATTGAATCCAACATGGACTCTTTTGATTGAATCCCAATCCAATCTTCAGCCGGATAAATAAAAAAATAAAAAAATCAAATAAAAATATTAGTGAAAATAAATCAGGTAAATAAAAAAAATTAATAGATAAAATAACAGATAAATTATAAAATATAATCTGATAAATATACATATAAATATTAACAGAAAAAAATAATAATAAGGATATATATTAATAAATAGTAGTAATAAATAAATAAATAATAAATACATAAGATAAAAATAAAAGAAAAAAAATATAAAAAAACAATAATAATAATAAAAATAAAAATAAAATAAAATAAAAATGTAAAATATAAAATATAAAAAAAAATAAAAAAAAATACTTACCTATTTAGACCAGGCCCAATTGATCCGGACCTAGACCAAATTGGGTGTCTACACAACTCTAGTTAAAAAAACAATTAACATCCCTAAGTCTTAAGGAGACTAACAAGGAAAATAGATTTGGTTGTTAAAGTAAAAAAAGAAAAAAATTAGACTGCAACAATATAGATAAATATGCAGTAGTGTTGGATTTTGCCATTTTGGCTTTGTTTTGATTACACACTCTGTTAAATATGCATATCCATGGGTGATATAGGTATAGATTATACCCTTAAAGAAGTGGTCAAAAAGCAAAATGGATGACCCAACCCGTAGAAGATGAAGGCCTAAAAAAATCCATTAACTTTCTGTTAATGCTTTCTGATCTGGGGATCTGGAATAAACTTAATATTCTACAGAAAAGGAGGGATCTTGATCAGTAACTCTAGATAAATTAAGCATTATAACTTGAGTTCATTTTGGAAGATCTGGAACACTTTTATCAAGATATACATCCAAACAGCAGTTGGCTACTGTCAAGGATTATTTATTTATTGGACATGAGATAAGGATAAAGTGGTAAACCCTCCTTCTTTTAACATAAAGACCACAAACTCCTGATTATAGAAAGATTGATTGAATCAGCTAGTCAGAAGCTTCAAATCTCAATTTCCGACTTCACTCCTTTTTTTTTTTTTTTTTAAGATTGCTATGTGTATCAGATAAAAAAATAAATATTAAACAATTTTTGTATTTATTAATTGTGGCTAAGGTTGATAAGAAATTGCATATCTCACATTGATGAAGTACTTACTAACATCCAATCGAAAAGCAAAAATGAATTAATAGATCTGCCATTTGCAATTAACCGATCCACCTTGAAGCTCTTAATTTAGTCAGTTTTGTTGATACCTCAAACTACCCGAATCCAACTTTGTTCCCAAAATGCAAGTGGATTATTCATCGGGTTTGAATCAACAGACAGGTTCCCACAAACAAAAGTCAACCGACATTTGTAATTTAGTTATTATGTGTTAAACCAAAAGTTTAAGTACCCTGGTGTAACTGATATATAGAAATTAATCTTCTCCAAAGCAATATCAATTAGTTTGCACTTAGCATCGATCAATCATTACACCATATTATTATTGTATGCAGCCAGTAAGCATCCAAGCCCATCTTCTTATCAATGGACCCCCACCCTTCACCAGCTCTCACTCAGCGAGTCTTATAAGCTTTGGTCTTGTTGATGATGAAATGCATAGATTCTAGGGTTGAGAGAAAAGACAAGCGCAAACATGTTTTTCTCTTTTTAAATCTCTAAAAAGATCTGAGTCCATTTGTTGATTAAGATATTAGTATTTTAAGGGTGTGAGTGCTTTTGAAATTTTGATAGTTTTCCTCTTGTTATTTCTATGTAGTTGGGGGTTCTGGACACCCTTTTCTTTCTTCTGCTGGCTTAATAAAATCCAGGAAAAAAAAAATACTAGTGAGGAAACCAAGGTCAAAGATTGGTGCTACTTCTTAAAGGTTTGAATACTCACTCCTCTTCCCTTTGGCACTTTCTTCCTTACTTTTCTAGAAGTATTGCCTTCTCTAATATTTTTCGATTAATCACAGCCAACTCGCAATAGTTATGCCTTGATAAAATTATTATTATCGCAATATCAACAGGCGTCAGGGCTCTACTGGTGGTATGTGACTACTTAGTTCTTACCATGAGATGATACAATAAATTTGACCTTGAATTTTTAAAAAATAGAAAACAATTTAAGTTATTAAAAAACAATTTTGCAAAGCTTTTAATTATTTATAATCTTTATTATTATTTTTATAAATTTTCTTTCATTAATTTTTTTTAATAATAGAATTGCTATTGGAAGGGATGTGCAAATACTAGTAATTAATTACGTAACTTACATAGTAGTTACTAAAGGTGAACAAAGTGAGAAAAAAAATAGTTTTTAACAGTATAATGTACATTTTAAATTTTACAGCAAAGAATTTATAATATAACTGAAAATAGATGAGATAAATCTCAAATCAATAATATTAACCTTATTATTTCTAGTAGTTTAGTGCATCTGTGTGATTGCTTGTAACCATTACAGGAAATTAAATTTTTAGTGGGTTTTTTATCATTTAGTGGTGTTCATAAAAATCATAAAAAAATAATTATTCATGTGTCAAAAAATTTAGCGGTGATTTTGGACAAAACCGCTAAAGTTAGCATTTTAATTTGTTACAAGTACGAACACAAGATTATATATATATACCTTGAAATTTCAAAATACAAAGACAAGTAGAGGGAAGGGGGGAAAGGGGAGGGAGAGGAATCATTTGTCAGCAATTTCGCTCACATTGACAAATTGCATAATGCAAGGGAAAATATGTTCGTGAAGTTTCACATGATACTCTTTACTTTATAATTAGTCATCAATTGCGAGGATGATGTGGCTTTCATGGACCTTGCTTGCTTTTTATAGGCATTTTCTTCTATCTATATATATATATACCTTGAAATTTCAAAATACAAGAACAAGTAAAGGGAAGTGGGGAAAGGGAAGGGAGAGGAACCATTTGTCAGCAATTTCGCTCACATTGACAAATTGCATAATGCAAGGGAAAATATATTCGTAAAGTTTCACATGCTACTCTTTACTTTATAATTAGTCATCAATTGCGAGGACGATGTGGCTTTCATGGACCTTGTTCGCCTTTTATAGGCATTTTCTTCTATATTTCAGTGTACTTAGATTAGATTAGATTTCAATATTGCTAGCCAAGTTATTTTTCCATGACAATGGTATCTGTCCACCGTCTACCACATTATTGACACTTTAACAATAAGAGAATGAAGGATTTTAATGTCATGGTTGGGGTCTCTTAATTGATCATGCATATAGTGTTTTTGACTTGGTTGTAGTCGCAAAAGCAGTTTTCTAGCTAGATTGGCAACTGCTTTAATGTTTCACAGTGCAATATTTGAGTCAAACATAAATTCTAGTTAAGTGAATGTGTATTTCGCATTGCAATTTTTGTTGCTAATGGTTGTTAATTTAGGTCTCAAACACAATTTTAAATGGGGATTAAGGCCACTGCGCATGTCCAAAAGCCAACACCAGACCAGGGTGGCATATCATGGCAAGCAGGCTAATACAAAGAAGTACTTTCACCTTATCAAGATATTTTCTTTGATTTCAGCTTGCCCAAAAATATATTATACCAATATTATGAGTTGGCTACACCTCTTAGTAAGGCGGAATTGAATTGAATTGTATTTAAGCACGTATGTATCAACTTTATTAGGTATAAAAAAAAATATCATAAACTTAATTTAATTAAAATGGAGAATTTTTAATTATACTACATGTTTATTAGAAGAAAGATATGTATCTTCTACTTGCAAGTAAAATCAAGTGGATGGCATAATATGTGTGAAAACGAACTCTTTTTCTGGAATGAAGGTTCTTTTGCTTTCAAAATTTCTTCAAGTACCCTTGAATAAATGGTTTTTCAGTCTCAATTTGTCAAACAACGGTTTTCGGATTGGTCGCAGATTGTTACTTTTCCAACTAACGTACGTACCTTAAGGTATCCTCTCATAATATACCATTTGACCGCAGATCTTAACAATTGGCTCTCATTCCAAAAAATTTCCCCCTGTACAAATCGTTAATCAAAGATTATGTGCGTTGAAATAATTAAAAAGCTCATAATGCAACACTTTCAACTCCTTTTCTTATTCCTACTTCTTTTATATTAAAAAATAATTAAACATGTTTAATGCAAACCATTCGATTAAAATAGCTCTCATATTTTGATTTTCTAATTAATCTTTTTTACATGTATATGTTACAGGTCGAGATTGAACTTTTAGGTTCGCGTGACTTCAGGACTTGAGCATATATTCATCCGACGTCACAGATCAGTCTACTTACTATAGTTCACATTTTTGTGAGGTATTGTTCCGCTCTGATCCCTTTAATTTCACGATTTTATCTCACAAAAAATACCTCACAAGAAGAGACTGATGTAAACTTTTATATCCTAAAATCAATTCTAATACTCAATCGATGTGAGATACCTTACTTCACTTCAGGACTATGACACATGTATTAACCGATGATGTGCATTAAATTCTCATATACAATAATCCTCTAAATATAGTCTAATTAAGTTTAAGCATAGATTAATAATGGAACAATTCAACCATATGGAAGACAAACTAAGAGAGAAGGCTTGTTCATAAGTACCTGTACCTGCAGCATTGGGTCCAATTCCAAATAATAAACTGATGGGGCTGAAGAAAAAGCACTGCAATTTAAAATGTTAAAGAAGAAGAAAATGTGTGATATAATTTGTCTAGTTGCATGAATAGTTTAATTATAGATGAGCAAACTAATCCAAAAAAGTAAGAGAGAGAGAAAAACAAAAATTAAAAGAGAGAATAAGACCTGCTTAAACCCTAGGGTTGAATAATGAGGGTGAGAGAGAGAGGCACAGGTGTAAGACTTTTTGTTCTCGTAGATGCCTCACGTCACCCTTTATTTCTTACCCATAAATCTTACTCTTTCCTTTCCCCGTTTTTCCCAAGTAGCTTTTCCTTTGCTTTGAAGAAAGAAAAAGAAGAAAAGAGGAAAACGTACGGACAACATGGGTCGAGCTCCTTGCTGTGACAAAGCCAACGTGAAGAAAGGACCATGGTCACCTGAAGAAGATGCTAAGCTCAAGGCTTATATCGAGAAGTATGGCACTGGAGGCAATTGGATTGCTCTTCCTCAGAAAATTGGTACCCTGGCTACCTACTTCAAACTTTTATTTTTCTTGTTTGTTTCTTTTGAATGATCTGTATCGGGGAACTTTATTTGCATGTTCTTATAAGTTGATTAACTTGACTTTTTGTATTTTTTGGGTAACATTTACAGGCCTTAAGAGATGTGGAAAGAGTTGCAGGCTCAGATGGCTTAATTATTTGAGACCAAACATCAAGCATGGTGGATTCTCCGAAGAAGAAGACAACATCATCTGCAGCCTCTATATAAGTATTGGAAGCAGGTATACTCCTTTTTTTACTCCAACTTTTAGGCTTGGATGGTTTGTCTTCTTATTCTTTGTCCTTGATACCTTCACAAAATTTTTTTTGAAAGGCAGATGTATTGATTCCTTCACAAAAATATATGCAAAAGCCTGAATCTTGTTACAGTCATATCTTCTTCTTTTTTCCCCTAGGATTTCTACAATTCTCTTTTTTTTTCTTCCTTGCTTCGTCATTTTTTGTTAAGGATAATCCAGGCAGGATTGGATCTACTTTTTAGGTGGTCTATAATTGCAGCACAACTGCCTGGTAGAACAGATAATGATATCAAAAACTACTGGAACACCAAACTGAAGAAGAAACTACTTGGGAGGCGCAAACAATCTAACATCAATAGGTTGTCGTCCTCGAATCAGGACCCTAATGTTCAGTTCAAAGGGGCAGATGATAATCAATTCTCACAGGGTTTGAGCAACTCGGCCTTAGAACGACTACAACTCCATATGCAGCTCCAAGGTCTTCAGAATCCTTTCTCTTTCTACGACAACCCTGCTCTATGGCCTAAGATTCATCCCTTGCAAGAAAAGATGATCCAAAGCATCCAGACCTCGAATGGAAGCCCTAACCTTCTTATACAACCTCTCCTGCCAAACCCTCAACCTGCAAATGAACAAAGCGTTGATGATTTATATGACCAACCTGCTACAGCTTCTCTGACACAAGATCAGCAAGATTATCCAAAAAACAGCAAAGCCAAAGGACTTGAATTGGATAATTCTTTGGATGGAATATCTCCATCAAATGAATCAGTTCCCTTTGGCACTGGACAAAATTTGAAGGACTCGGCAACTGTGCCTAACGCAGATGGAAATATAGCACAATCAATTAATGCAGCTGTTCAACCAGTTTCGAACTTCCAGTTCCAGACCGAGCTGGATGAGTTTCTTAATAACAAAACAGCTAGTTATGCACCACAGGAATACCAAATGGCTGATCAATTCGATTGCTTCAAGGAGATGAATGGTTCAAAGGACAGTTTGATTTGGTGGTCTAGTGACTTTGATGGAAAATCAGCATCTTCCAATTCTTGGGATTCAACTTCTGTTCTTCAATCCAATGGAATATTTCAAGATTATGAATTAGGTTACAATATGTAGGGAGTGAGAAAGATAAAAGCAAAAAAAAAAGAAAAGTAGGGATTGGTTTACTGTTTTAGCTTATTTGTGGTAGACATAAGATGGGGAAGGCTGCTGGATATCATACAAAGATCATGTAAATTGTGTGAGTAATAATGTTAATTTCCTTCTCAGTGTCTTGCCAAATCTGAATGGTGTGGTTATAACAGCTTTTGCTCTACCTTTTTTCTAGAGATTCAAACAATAGTAATCAATTCTATACTACTTATGAATCGTGTGATAACTAAATAGCATTCTTGTTAGTACGCTTCAATTAGGGTTTTTTCTTTGAGAAAAAAAAGAAGAAAAGAAAATAAAGGAAGAAAAAACCATACACCAAGATGAATCACATGACTACAATTTTTTTTCTGCTGATAAAAGGTTAACTCTTTTTTATTTGAAATAAGTTTAAAATGCTTTGAGCCAAATATATACTAAGGTCTTCCTTGGAATAGGAATGACGAATGTGAGTGGTTATTAGTCTATCTAGAATCCATATGTTCATTTTGATATTTACTGTTGGATTTGCAAGAGAAATAAACACATGTTTTCACGTACAGATAACAAATTAAACATGAGAGGCACAATCACATTCAAGTCTAACGATACATTTTTTACGAGACCTGAACAAATTTCTTATTATGAATATGCATGGTAATTTCTTTGCAAAATTTGCTTTTAAATTTGTTGTAGACCTGTTCACAGATCAAGCGGTTTGTTCACTTGGATAACTTGTTAGGCTTGCGAGTTTATGTCAGAGAGGCTGGGGCTCTTGGCATAACTTTTGGAACTCAGATTTCGTTTGTGAAAATATTTATTATTAATAAATAATTAGTTTTTATTTAATTTTAATTCAAATAGATATTTAAAAATGTTAAAATATTAATATATCAATCTTTTAAGAATAAATTTAAAACAGACATATTAGATGAATTTTAAGGAAATTGAGTCAAGTCTTGAACAATCTTTTAAATATATCAACTGAGTTCGATATTACTTGATTTATAGATATCTCTAATTTTTAAATTGAATGCAATGTTGAAATGAACTTAGAATTTTGTTTTTTTATACTATAAATGTAGGTTTTTACTGGATAAATAAGATGAAAAAAATAACAATAAAAAATAATTAATTTAATGGTTAAGTTTCATAACCACAACTTAATCATTATATTAACAAAATTTTCATCTTTCTAATAAAAAAGCTTTAGACAATAAATATCTTGCCTCTCCCTTCTTCCGTAAACCAAAAGACGAATAAAGAAATAAATGTTAGAAGAAAATTAAGAAGGATTAATTATATATATATATTACAAATTGAAACAAGTACGTACATTCAAAAGGAAATTAGGAGAATGCGTGTCTTTCACCCAGGCAGGAACGCTTTGTACGATAGGAGGACCAACCCTAGCTAGGGTTCGTGCTGCTGTGTCATGTGCATCAAGGTTTCAACTTTTAATAGATAAAAACAATAAGCAAAGCAATATGGGACACTAGTGCATTGACTTATTATGTTGTTCCCCTTCTATTCCGAGATTCCTTGGAGAGAATGACCAGATTCCGATTAGCATTTCAAGGAGTTGAGTGCCTTTCCTGCCTTTGAAATACGCATGGATAATCTCCAAATTTAATTGAGTAGTGGGGGGCAGTAAGAGCTTGGCATTTTTCATACATTTTGTGGTGTAGATGCCAGAAAGTTACTTGGCAACTGAAAATTTACGCAAAAAGGTTGTTTAGAATTTTTATTCACTTTTTGGTCGGCAAACTTTATAGTATAAAGATCAATTGGACCTCGTCTCATTCACCTTGTACTACTAAACACAAAGAAGAAAACAAACAACTTGCTGCTTGCACAAGAAACGTGCATCTTCCCCGAATGAATGCCTACCCAAAATGCCCTTGTTATGATCACTTTTATAGTTCTTTTTGGAATAAAGGAAATATTATACCAGTTATCATAATTAAGTTTTGATTGTTGAAGAAATGGAAATTTTTTAAGGGACCTCTGATTTTTAGGTGTAAACTTTTTTAATATCAAAAAAGGAGAAATTTGAATTGAACTTTTTGAAGGGGGAATACATGAATGAAATACCGTGCATTCTTTATGAGTTAAAGTTGAACTTCACTGATATATTCACTTTCGTTGTTAGATTTTTTATACTAGTTTCAAACCATTAAAAAGATTAAATCGTCCACCGCGAGACCTTTAAACCAGTTTTGGTTGATATATAATAGTTATGAGTATTGGGTTTTCTTAGGAAGAAAAAGTCTATGGAATGAGTGCGTAATATTGTCCGTTAAAATTTATGAGAGTTGTTATAATTGATGATAGTAAGAGTGAGAAAAAAATTAAAAATTAATTAAAAATTATAATGTTTGATTTGATTCAAATTATCTTTTTATTTGGTTCAAATTAAATTTAAATATGAAATGCATATATTAGGTTTGAATTAAAAAAAATAATAATAAAAAAAATCTAATCAAACCGAATGATATATTTTTATTAATTTATATATATTTTAAATTTTTATAAAATAATTATTTTATATTTAAATTTATTTAAATAATATTAAAAATCATATTAAAATAACATATAAAAAAATAAAATTAATTAAAATTTGATTCAAATAAATTAATTTTAAAGAAAAATTAATTTAAATACTTAAATTTTATAAATTTATAATATTATGTTCATCCGAATTGTTGTTATCTTTAACCAGGCAGTTTGATAATAAAGTTACGGCCCATCTTTTATTGTTGGCTTGTTTTTTTGGACACTTTAAAAGTTCAGCGTAATGGGCTGATCTCGAAGCTTTTAAATGTTGGTCCAATCAGAATAAAAATGAAAATCAAATTATTAGATGCGGTGGGCGTGGATTCACCTCAAATCTTCAGTTTCATTTTTTTTTTTTAATTTTTAATTTACCCTAAACTCATTTTTTTAATATTTATGTAATTAAAAAATTACACGCTTAAACTCATTTCAATCTGAAACTTTTAAATACCACCTTTAATAATTTTGCACAAATTGAACAGCAACCTAAATTCAAGGATTATTTATTACTTAAGAATTAATCATAATTAAGTTAGTATAAGAGAGAATTTGTACCAACCAAATCAATCAAAACTTTCAGTCGATTAAAATTTATTCTTTGATTTGTTTAACTAAAATGAAAAATAAATAATTTAATTATAATTTTAACTGAATTAAGGTAATTTCATTTAATTACGATTTTAACCGAAACCACTCGTGCAAATGTCAAAATTATGGCAGCGACACACCATCTTTAGTTCTTTACCACCGTATGAGTTGTTTCCCTCATAACATTAATTACTCTTTGTCATAGTTTACTATTGCTTTTAAAAATTACTTTTGAAATTTTAAGTTTGCTAACTAGGAAAAAAACAACGAGGAGCCAATGGTGGATGCCATGCAGGAGACAAAGCAAGGTGCAAACGTTAAGTGAAAAAAATGGCACGGTCTTTTGTTGGATCTCGGGATAAGGTAAGGATAGAATTGGGGAAAAGGAAGCAAAATATGACAGGCAAAGATGAGACAGAAAGGGACCCAAAGGTGACAAGAACCAGTTACGTAGAAGAAATTGTCTTGCATGGAAAGCACTTAGCAGCGGAGACTAGATGCCAGTCTCGCTGGCAACCATGAAATGCCTAGCTTGGAATTATTGTGGGCTTGGGAGCCTACATATAGTTTGTGCTCTTCAAACGCTATTGAAGAGATAAGATTCCGATGTTATATTTTTAAGTGAGACATTGATACCAACAGAAGCTTTAGAAAGGATAAAACTGAAATGCAATATGAACTCAGGTTTGGGTGTTAGCGCTATTGGCAAAAATGGTGGGTTGGCAATGTTATGGAGGGAAGGAATTGAAATGAACTTGGCTAGCTTCTCAAAAAACCACATAGACATGAATGTGGTGGATCGACAAAACCAACAATGGTGATTGATAGGCTTCTATGGAGAACCAAACACAAGTTCGAGATATGAAACATAGGCATTATTAAGACAGCTAGCAAGAAGCTTACATGGACCGTGGTTGTGTTTTGAGGATTTTAATGACATCATGTAGGACTCAAAGAAATGAGGTGGAGCTATAAGGGCAGAATGGCACATGAAGGATTTCTGAAATACTGTAGAAGATGCAGGTTTAAAAGATATGGGATTTAAAGGAATATGGTACAAATGGGTAAAGGGAAGAGTTATTAGTTGAATGATAAAAAAGAGGCTGGACAGAGCATTTGGAAACAAGCAATAGACAGACATGTTTCCTCGATTTTCGGTAGCAAATATGCCAATATCAATCTCAGATCACAATTCAATTTTGGTTGACACAGAAAGATGCAAAGAAAAGAAGAGAAAGGGTAGGACAAGGAAAAGGTTCTTCTTTGAAGCAATGTGGACAAAAGATGATACATGTGAGGGGATTATATACAGCAGTTGGAATGGTGGGGTAAGGGATAGTCCGAAAGAAAAAATGTACGAAGTAAGAAAAGAGTTAGGCATATGGAGTAATGCAATGTTTAGAAGGTTTCATAATGAGATCAAAATGGTGAGTTTAGAGTATGGGAAGCTTAAAATAAAGAACTTGAACATGGCAAATAAAGGAAGCAAGAGGAGCTAAGAGCCGAGATAAATGATTTGTTGGAAAATGAGGAATTATTTGGTAACAACGATCGAGAATAAACTGATTGAGGGATGGGGATAAAAACACAGCTTTTTCCATGCTTATGCAACTAGTAGAAGAAGGAATAATTTCATTAAGGGTTAAAAGATAGGTATATAAGATGGAGTAAATATGAAGATAGGATGCAAGATATAGCCCTTAGCTATTTCAAGAATCTATTTGAATCTTGTTAGCCTTGAATTTATCTTTAGTTTGAAATAACAAAATATTAAGCTAAATAAGCTTGATTAAAATTTTGAAATAATTTATTTAGTACATATTCTTAAGTTTTATTATTTTTTGTACTAAACAAATAATATTTTTTAAGTGATATTTAATAT